CAACTTTCACATATAGTTTTTAGTGCTCTAGGCCCTTCCAATAATTAGTTATTAATAATTGTTCTGCGAGTTGTCTGGAACGATACCGCATACCGTCGAGTATCTTTACGGTTTTTCAGTAATTTCATATCTTTCTACTAAATTCTCGTGCAACTAACTATACGCATCTGAAAGACAACTCCGTTACCTATATTCTCATATAATTTTTATGAATACATTCTGTTTATTTTAAGAGTTATTAGACGTTTTATGGAAGAGTCTCCTATTCACCGTACCCGCGTATAGTCAACTGTTATAAACAATTGCTAATATTTATTAAACCACATTATATACAGGATTAAAAATTCTTGCAGAATGTAGGCAAAGGTCTATACTATATTCTACATGCTTGAAAGTACAAAATTAATCATGCATATTCGTGAAAATGACAGAAATCCGTTACGCTTGAATGCGACGAGTGTAGTACTCACCCAAATAATATTTAGTAACTCATTATTTACGAAAAATTTGTGAACTTTTAGAATTGAAGAATGAAGTGTGGACCTTTAGCAACTTTCTCATATAGTTTTTAGTGCTCTGAACCCTTCCAATAATTATTTATTAATAATTGTTCTGCGAGTTGTCGAGAACGATACCGCATACCGTCAAGTATCTTTACGGTTTATCAGTAATTTCATATATTCCTACTAAATTCTCGTGCAACTAACTATACGCATCTGAAAGGCAACTCCTTTAGCTACATTCTCATATAATATTTATTAATATATTCGGTTTATTTTAAGAGTTATTAGACGTTTTATGGGAGAGTCTCCTATTCACCGTACCCGCGTATAGTCAACTGTTATAAACAATTGCTAATATTTAATAAACCACATAACTTGAGTCTACCAAACTAATTGTAGAATATAAATAAGATTCCATTCTACATTCTACATGCTTCATAGTGCATAATTAGTCACACATGTCTATTGAATTAACGAAAATGTGTTACGCTTGAATGCGATGGGTGTAGTACTCACACAAATAATATTTAGTAACTCCTTATTTGCCATGATTTTGTGAACTTTTAGAATTGAGGAATAAAGTGTGGACCTTTAGCAACTTTCTCCTATAGATTTTAGTGCTCTACGCCCTTTCGATAATTAGTTATTAACAATTTTAGTATTGGATGTCGGGAACGATACCGCGTACCTTCACGGTTTTTCAATAATTTCGTAGCTTTCTACTAAATTCCCATGCTAATAACTATATGCCTGTGAAAGGCAACTCCTTTAGCTAGATTCTCATATAATTTTCATTAATATATTCAATTTAGTTTACGAGTTATTAAACATTAAGTGAGAGAGTCCCGTATTCATCGTCCACCAGTATAGTCAACTGTTATAAACAATTACTAATATCTACTAAACCATATCACTTAAGGCTATCAAACTAATTGCAGAATATAAACAAAAGTCCATTCTACATTCTTCATGCGTAAAAATACACAATTGGTCACGCATTTCCATTGAAATAACGGAAATCTCTTACGCTTGAATGCGACGCCCGTAATACTCACCCAAAGAATGTTAAATAACTATCAAACCACGAGGGATACGTTCACAAATATTATATGAGAATATAGCTAAAGGAGTTACCTTTAAAATGCATACAGTTACTTACATGAGAATTTAGTCAAAAGCTATAAAATTATTAAAAAACCGTAAAAGTATTACACCCGCCGTATTCAAGCGTAACACATTTTCGTTATTTCAATAGAAATGCCTAAGAAATTATGCACTTTGAAGCATGCAAAATGTAGAATGGACTTTTAACTATATTCTGCAAATAATTTGGTAGCCATAATTGGTGTGGTTTAATAGATATTAGCAATTGTTCATAACAGTTGATTATACTCTAGTACGATGAATAGGGCACTCTCCCATATAATGTTTAATAACTCTTGAACCAAACCGTATGTATTAATAAAAATAATATAAGAATGCAGCTAAAGGAGTTACCTTTCAGATGCGTTCCGTTAGTTTCACGAGAATTTAGTAGAAAGCTGTGAAATTATTGAAAAACCGTAAAGGTATGCGGTATCGTTCCCGACATCCTGTACTAAAATTGTTAATAACTAATTATTGAAAGGGTCTAAAGCACTAAAAACTATAGGAGAAAGTTGCTAAAGGACCACACTTCATTCTTCAATTCTAAAAGTTCACAAAATCATCGTAATTATTGAGTTATTAATGATTTTTCACCGACCGACTTAATTTGGGGCCTGGGAGTTGAAGTATGGCGGCCCGCTGACCAATAAGAAACGTTCTCTCTCTGTCCTTGTCGCACACTAGTGCTTTCCTTGTCTAATACCTCTATTTATATTCTGTTATCCGAGTAACGAGTCGTTAGTTCGCGGATCCAAACGCGAGATGGCGTTGCTTCAGAACTGTAAATTCTCTGTCCTTGTCTATCCCTATACCTTTCCTTGTCTAACTCATTTCTCTAGTTCTATCCTTGTCTACCCATATTCCTTTCCTTGTCTAACCCGTTACACTAGTGCTATCCTTGTCTACCCCTATTCCTTTCCTTGTCTAACCCATTACACTGATACTATCCTTGTCTAACCCTATTCCTTTCCTTGTCTAACCCATTACACTAGTGCTATCCTTGTCTATTCCTATACCTTTCCTTGTCTAACTCATATCACTAATGCTATCCTTGTCTACCGCTATTCTTTTCCTTGTCTTACTCATTTCTGTATTGATATATACTTCGACGAGTTATCCTTCGTAGTAAGCACGACTAAATATGTTACGTTGCGTGGATAGAACTGTTCACGATATTTTGACAGCAGTAGAACACACGCATGTGATAAATCATCTACTAATAAACAATTACGTTACTTTCTTATTTGTAATTTCATAGTTACGTTTAATTCTAATTCCAACCACTACTAACGTAGTCTTGTTCTATGCTAAATCCGCAACATTGGGAGTGACAGGAAAATGGTAAATAAACTTAAATTAACATTTATGTATGGTTGATTAAAGATGTTTATATTTAATAAAGATGTTAATATTTTTTGTATAACAAACAAAATAAATTTAACAATTTAAACTTTAAACTTTCTTCTCGAGCTTGAACTTGTTATTTATGTACCTGGAAGATAAACATACGTGCTTGAACTTTAAATATTGTTGTAGCTTTCATAGGAAAATTCCATAAACGTTTCCACAGAGCGTTAAAAGACAAACTCTAGGAAACGTTCCTAGAACGAGAATCACCGTTGTTTGTAACATTTCGCAAGCTGTTTAGAGGATAAACTAAAAAACATTTGAAACGCAGCGAACAATTAGCGCTTTTGTTAAAATCAGAACTCAGACGGCAATTAGAAGCTACAACGATCAGCCAATTTTCACCGTTATCGTGTTTGCAGCGGCAGATTGCCCGCACGCTTTTTACAGTTGGCAATTATGCTACCTAAGTTGAGGCAATTAGACGAATTCACGTGCAAAGAAACTGAAAAGCAAAAGAAAATGAGAAAAAAAGAAACGAAACGATGAAAATTACCGAACCGTTCGACCATCGATAAAGAGAGAGAGAAAGAGAGAGAGGCTCGTAAACGTTTAAATGTGCTTAAACGAGTCGTGTTTCACAGGGATTTTAATCGATTCTCGAAAACTTCGTCGAGAAACAGCACGAAAATGTTCGAACACCTTTACGAAGCGAGCTTCTAGGTGAGCGGGAGGAAAAGATTTGATACGAGTTGAAAAGTAGTTTGATTGAAAAAGTATCAGCAACAAATGGGCCTCTCGAACACGAGATCCACATAGACAATGGTAGCACGAGTGCACGATGCAATTATCAGTGAACGTGTATCAATTTCGTAAAGCTGCGTCTACACTACATATAACGTGTTATGTTATATAGCGTAGACGTAGACAGAGCTTCGTAACGCTTCAGTTTTAGGAGTCGCACATAGGAAAGGAATTTAACATTCAGGATAAAATATGCTTAACACATAATATAATATAATACAGGGTACTCTGCAATAAATTCGACAAACTTTGTCAGCATGTACAAAAGATTATTTTAAGCAAAAATAGTTATATAAATTATGAGTTGGTTCCCTGTATAATATATGTAAATGTGTAATAACAATATATGGCATTTGAAATAAAATTGACTCAATATATAATAATGAAAATAATATATTGACACAATAATCAACTACTGTATGATACATTCTAAAATAAGGATTAATGCATAACCTATGTTACAATTTTTATATTCATACATAGTTTGTTGTTGCGTTTTATGTATTATGCACAAACTAATACATTTTCAACTCTGATTTTTATTTTATGACTTATGAGCAATTGGACAATTATGAGTTACACGATTAAAACGACTATTACCATTTATTACAAAATTATATTATTTATTGTATTTACAATTATTAAGTTTCATCTGCTTAAGATAACATTAAAATATTGGTAAAGAATAAATAACAATATAGTTCAAATGCAATAAATTTGCCACAAGTATCATTTTGAATTAAATAAATAAGTACAGAATTAAAAAATGTCTGTTTTATATAAATATATTAATGCAACTATTAAATATTTTTATAAACTAAAATGCTTTATTTGCTGTAAGATTGTGAATGAAGAGTGCTTATATTTGTTGAAATTAAGGTATGAAAATTTAATATAGCATGTAACATTTACAACTCAAAACCTTAGGTTTTATTTACTAATGTATAATATGTATGTACAGTGTAAATATAAAAACACAAAATAAAATACTACACTAGATGTTTCAGTTGTAACGTACCAGGCAGTGCAAAGTTCTACTGTCATTTTAATATATATAATTCAAATTATTCTTTTTACCAATCAATGTAAAGTCTTTTCCATAACTTCCAACAATCTTCTTATTTTAAAGATCTTTATAACATTAAAAAATTCTTTAGAAAAACTGCTTACTTAGTTAAACTACTTACTATATGAATAAGATTATTTTTTAATACCCCATTCTTCAGAAACATATTTTAATAAATCGGTAAGGTTTTCAAATTCAGTTCTACTTTGAGGGGGATCATTTTTTGGTATTCTTGGTAGAAGGTTTCCAACTTTTAGTCGAAATTCTTCAGCAGTTGTAGCACCAGAAAGCTTCCAAATTCCATAAAAAAGGATTCCACAACCACTAACTGCCCATACAGAACCCCAAAACAAAGCTCTTGTAGCAAGTGCAGCCCCAGACTCAGGAAGTCCTTTTCCTCCCATAAATCCAATATCAAAACTCTTGGTATCTTGTTCCAGCCATAGCAGAAATTCCTGCTATTCCACTTAAGAATATTGTACCTGGAACATAAATTATTAATTTATTAAAAGTACTCTTAATTATAACTTTGTAGCAACCTAATTGTACTAAAAATAATTTCAACTCAGTTAAACAAAAAATATAGGTTATGTATGATTTCGAGTTTTATAGTACAAAATGCAAAAACTATACAAATTTGGATTTGAATTTTATTTAGTTTTAATATCATTAAATTAAATTTAAATTTATTGTAAACTGTTCGTTTAAAAGAGGCCCTTTAAATTTGCTGTTTACTATATGCTTAATTATGATGATAAACAAGAATAAACAATTAAAAGAAAAGATCATTCTATCTTTTATTTAAATTCACATCTTCTACAGGTTAATAGTTTAATATTACTAATATTCAAGTTATTAAACGTAAGAAATTTAAACATAAACTTACCGTAAAATCTTTCCTTTTTTTTTTTTTCGTTTATTTCTGACATGGCTTATGTTTTTAATTTAAATTATTGTTTTCCTTATTGTTACAATGTATCATGTTACTAAGCCTTCGATTGAGAAAGTCTCCGACAAAATTCAAAGGAAATCTAAATAAAGCAACTTACAAAATTGCAACACGTTTCTTTGGCTGTGTTTACACATGTAAGTAACTCACACGTTGTTCCATAGATGTATGCACAATCTTTATGAAATAAATATAAAATATGCAATACAGAATTAGAAGCTTTAAAAAACTTTTATTACATTGCTATAATCCATACGGAATTAATAAATAAAATTTATTTTGTCGTTTTAATGTATATTTTTATTATGATATAATTTAACATAGGACTAAAATATATTCATAACTACTTAAATCATTAAAATGAGTATAATTTAATAGAAATTATATGTAATACGTATAACAATATGTAATACAAATTAAGATATATTTTGTTATATCAATACGAAATTCTTATCAATCTTAGTAATGTTTGTTTATATAAAATAAAATATTAAATTTCACAAAAATTTTAGAGTAAAAGAATTAAAATTGATTTGATATCTATCAAAAATTTTTCCTATTAAAAGGGTATAACGTTTTGAAAGTACTTTAATAAAAATAAAACTTATTTTCATTCCTAATTTACAAGAAAAATATTGTTTCATAATGTTTCAAGTATACATTAGTTTCTTATTGTTCAATATTTTTATTAGTAATACTTATATTTTTTCAATTTATTTTATATCAAATAATTAATATTAGTCCCCCTTACATTAATGTACTTTCTAAAATGTATCAATTGTTGCCAACGTAAGAAATTTTTAGATTAACATTAACAATGTCTTTTACAAACATCAAATAAAAGCTACAAACATAAATTAAGATCTATAGAACAAAAATTAAAGCTAATTTAAGCTTATATTATCCAAAAATTTTTTTTCTGGACACATGATTATTGCAGTGTTACGTAGATACTTGGGGAATTTAATGGAGTTGTCGCTCATGGAGCGCTAAAGCACTGTTTTACACCTGAGCAATATTTCTTTGCGTAGCAACGAGGATAAATATTTATTTACATAAGTAGTTGTAAATAGTAGTCAATGATAGTTTACGATATATTTTATCGAATTTCTTTGTTCATTGCTTTGGCCACACCGTTGTACAATTTATATTCAGCGCGTTTTAGAATTCACACTACGGGGAGCCACATGAGCCACATAACGCAGTAGTATAATGTTTTAATGATGACATGTGAAATTGGATTAAGATTTTGCTAGCTATTGTGCTGCACAAAAATTTAACTTTCTCATCTAACGAATTATAATTTATGGAATGTCCTTTAAAGATGTTTCTTTCACGTTAAATAAATTTCATTGTTAATTTGGAAAAGAAATTTCAGTTTTATAAAATTTGAAATTAAGATAAGAAAAATGATGGAAGGTAGCGTACTAAAAAGTATTATTTGTTATATTGGAAAATGGATTTTAACTAATTTTAGTGACAATTTGTAATAAAAATATTTGATGTCAAAACATTTGCTGACATTTATGTTTAATCGTTCTTCTTCTTTACTGGTCTTTTATTATTTCAAGATAAAACTTCAAAAAATTATGAAAAAATTCGTGTAAAGTGTGTTTTACAATAAAAATTAGGTTCAGATTTTGAGAAGAAATTTAAAAAGATTTTTAAAAAACAATAAAAATGTGTCAAATGTTCAATTGATAACAGTGAATATTAAATACTTTTCTGAAATTAATGTTAACTAAATTTTGTACACAGTGTATTATATACAACTTCAATAACATAAAAAATGTGTATCATATTTCGTAACACATAAAGAATAAATATTTTATTGTGTATATATTGTGTACTTATGTACATTGTATTTGTGATAAATAAAATACTTGTTGAAATTCCTTATGTATGTTTTTAAGTTAAACATTCATATCTGTTGGGATAAACATTGATTGATTAAAAAATGTATTTTCCTTTTAGGAGAATTGAAACACGATATTGACAAATTAATTGAAGAACTACGGTTTGTTGTAAAATCTGAGAAAGAGATTAAAGATATCATCCCTATTTTAGATTCCATTGTCAACGTTAGCAAAGCTTCCATTGGAGGTATCAGTTGTTTTTTTTTTCATTTTTTTAGTTAACATATTACTCAAATGAATATTTG